GTGTGTGTGTGTGTGTGTGTGTGCGTGCGCGCGCGCGCGCGCGATACGGTATCAATGAATTATCGTAAGACAGGATTAAAGAGAGTTACAAGGAAGAGTTATAGAATTGATCATGATCTGTCATATTAAATAAATATTTTTCGAATATTTTTTAATAGGATTCTTTTTTAATCAAATCATTTTTAATAAGATTTTTCTAATAATAAATATTTCTAATAATATTCTTATTAAAATGTTTATTATTTGAAAAATAATCAATATTTTTATTGAATTAAAATAATAAATATTTTCATTAAATATCTAATAATAAATATTTTTCGAATATATTTTTCTAATAGGATTCTTTTTCAATAAAATCATTTTTAATAAGATTCTTCTAATGATAAATATTTCTAATAATATTTTTATTGAATTAAAATAATAAATATTTTTCGAATATTAGGATTCTTTTTTAATAAAATCATTTTTAATAAGATTTTTCTAACAATAAATGTCTCTAATAATATTTTTATTAAAATATTCATTATTTGAAAAATACTAAATATTTTTATTAAATTAAAATAATAAATATTTTCATTAAATATCTACTAATATATATTTTCCGATACTTTTTTTAAAATTATTTTAATAGAATTTTTTTTAATAGAATTTTGCGAATAATTTTCCATCGAGTTTTTTACTAATCTTTGTTAAAAAAATTGCGCTAGATGAATTCAAGTGAATGTGATTTACCTCTTAATCAATAAACTGGATATCTTCGATTGGACGTCTCTTCAGAATGCATGGAAAAACGCACGAAAGAGGCAGGCAGTCGATTTTAATCACGGTCCACGGTCTTAATCGCGTGACCTGTCGAAATATCGATCGACATGGTGCGATTATCGAGTGACACACACGTGAGCTTACTCGGAGGAACTCCGTTCCTCCGAACGACCCGAGGCTTACTGACTTCGGCGAGGCACAACCGGCGCGACGAGGCGCTGAGCGGCGTAATGAGGCGCCTTCACCTGCTCGTAACGTAAGTAGAGTTTATCCGAGTTTATCCCCCCGTAAGGTACGTCGCACACGCGAAGGACAGGTATGTGTACGCAGTGCGTATGCGATAATCGACCGTTTTCTCGCATGTATGTATGTAGAACGAGCGCGAAACGGCCGCTGGTTTGTATAAACCAATCGCACGGTCGCGATCAAATGAATCGAGACATGTAACTCTGGTGGAGATTCACTCAAGAGATTTTTTAATTTTTTATTTTCATCCGTTTTCATTGATTCTCCTACAGATCGAGAGAATATTGAAATTTTATTTATAGAACTTTGTAACAAAATGTAACAAAATGTAACATACTTCATTAATGAGAGAGAGAATTTTAAAATCAATTTTTCACATATTTTGACATCGTATGATTATATCAGATTACAATATTGATTAATAATATTTGATTTTGATATTGAATCAAAAAATCAACAGATTAATCTTTACCATTAGACTATGATTTCAAAATAGACAACTTTTTATTTATAAAATATCAGTATTTTTATTATTAAGCCAATATATTGATTTCTTCTTCAAACACATTTTGCTAAAATTAATTTTTTATTGTATTTTAACAATACCTCTTTTCTGAAAAAGAATGCACGATCTATTGTTGAGTTTGAAAAAAGTATGAAGAAGAAAAATGACATCAAAAGTTTCACTAAAAATTGTTATAATTAGCAACTAATTATTTTTGAAAAATTTTAAAATAAAATCACAAATATATTCACATTTTCTTAACATAAGAATTTCATCACATCAATTTATCAACCGGGCATGTGGCAAACACTGATGATTTTATCATAATATGCGAGATGACAGAAAATAATACTTTATTTTTTAATGAATTTCTTAGTGTTATAATTGATATGTAATATTAGCAGTATATTTGCACTTATGTGATAATCAACATTAATCAAATATTCGTCAATAATTCTCAATATATTCAATATAATTAAAATATTTTTAATATAATCAATATTTAACCAATATTTAATTAATTATTTAGATATCAATATTATTAGAAACCCGTTATCTAATCAAACGCATCATGTGTGTAAGATTGAAATAATTAACTATCGAATTGATTATTATTAATATATAATCGAATTGTGTACACACACAAGGTGTTAATAATATTTATAATAAATTAAGAATATGTTGAATAAAAGAAAACGAAATTAAAAAATTGATTTAAGTCCATATTACAATAGTTACTTTTAATAAGAAATTTTACAGGCACTACTTCCAATTCATTCTTTTATCTGTATGCATATATTGCAAATTTTTAAATAAATCTTTTCACGAAATCAAATCTTTAGAAACTTTTTATTTTTAAAAAAATCTAGGTTTTTTTATAAAAAATATAAATACTAAATATAAATACTAAATTTACAGATTTTAAATACTAAATATAAATACTAAATTTACAGATTTTATACGATATTATATATATTTTTTATGTTAACAAACATTGTAAGAAATAATATCTATTAAACTTTAAATTTAAATATTAAATTTGAAGATTAAAATATAATTATTAGATATTAAATATATTAGAAAATTAAAATATAAACAATAGTCTCATTTAAAAATTATATGACAAGCGCGATTGCAAATGATATTATTTCATAAGATGTATCATGTATTGCCATATCGCATATTACTGAAACTAGAATTATTGATGTAGGTGAAATGCTTGGCATAAGATGAAACGGTTTCTACGGATAGTTTCCTATCGGATACAGGCGCGACAAAAATTAGTAGTCGGTTTCCATAGAATAAAATTTATCTAGTACGTTTTACTTCACTGAAAACGCGTCGAGAAATTATGTATCTTTATAATTTATGAAGACTTTTACATGTATATTTTACACATGTTATTTAGCTTTTCAAAATAAATATAATTTTGTTAAAATAAGTTCAGTTTATACTCGTTACACACACCATACATCCATGCAGAAATACTACCGTTATCAGATATCGATAATTTAAAAGTAAATACTAAGAAAAGTATAAATAGAGAGATATCTTTTTTATAAGATATCTCTTTTTTTAATAGATATGATATTGAATTGTTTGGAAAGTTTGTTGCAGTTTTCTTGTGAAAATCGAAAGCTGTATATTATCCTGAATGTTTATTTATCTAATGTAATGTGAGCATTTTTTCTCATTTTTAGGATAAATTTTCAAAATATATTAATTATAATTAATATTTTCATCTAATCATCATTAATATGCTCTTTCAAAAGTGTATAATGTCATCAAGATTATAAAATCACTTCCCAGTACACACAAAGTGCTAGTATTAATATTATATTCATCAAATAAAAATATATTTTATTTATTTTCATTTTAAACAATTAATAGCTTACCAAAATTTAGCAAGTGTAAATCATTCTTGTTATAAAAAATATATGTTAAAAAATGTTACTTTATAAAATATACTATCAGATGCAGTAGTCAAATTAAAATATATGGTTTATTTTAACGTCATTTGTTAAAAAAACGCTACAAAATTTTCAAATAATTTAATATATAAATCTTAAAAATAAAATACTGATTATTATCGAATTAATAATAGAATTTTATACTATTAATCTTATAATTAGAATATAAGAGTTATACACAGTAAAAAATTATACGTCCATATGTTAAAATTTTCTTCTATTACCACGTTTTAATTAGTACTTTAATGTAAAATTAATATACAACCTATGTTATTATTTTTATAACGTTTTCATGTGTTACATTTATATTCATTTACATTCAATTTTATAACTTAACACTTTGTATGTGTCTCTTAGAAATGGAATATTATTTTGAGTATTTTTAACATAATTCAATTTTTAACATAATCATTTTAAACAATCAACATGTCTCAAAGTCAGTTTAACATTCTAAGAAAAGTTAAAGTGAATTTTCAAATAATCTTGAACTTTGACATACAAGAATAATCAAATTTACTAAAATCAAATGTTTCTATTACAAATAATTTAAATTAAAGTAATTACTATTATATGTTAACGTTCTCAACATAACTTACGAGTTATTGTAACTATTTTTTTCATGTAATTTTTAATTAATTTGTATGTTATTTTTACATTACACTTAAAGTCACAATAACAAAAATAAATGTAAAGTATTGTGTCAATTATTTAACATTACATAACATTTTTAGTTTGTCAATAAGTAACATACGATGAATGAGTTATTTTAACTTAAAATTTAGAGTGGACTTTCTGGGGCATGTGGAAAATATTATAATTAACATTTTTTACTACGTAGTGTTTTAGTAAAATGTGATTATTTTTATATATTTTTATATTTATCCTCAAGAAAGTGTATTATTATTGATACAGTATATGTATAAAAGATCCGTTATTGTAATAATAAAATTGGATAAATTAAAATATATATTTTAATTAAAATATATATATTTTAAAATATATATATTTTAATATATATTTTAAAATATATTATATATTTTTTTTAATAATTTGTGTAATTATCTTTGCAGAAATAATCAAAATAGTATCTCATTTGTTCTCTTATTATCTCCGCGGACTCACTTGACAATTACAAAAATTCATTCATAGTTGTTTTAATAGTAACTTCATCGATATGTGAAAATAGTAATTTATAAGATAAAACATTCGAATATTTGTGTTATCCTTTGAAACAGCTATAAAAGATCACTACTACGATGATAAAACAGAGACTAGATAAAGTAAAATATTCATATTGTTATCTTCAGTCAAAATGATAGGAACTGTCATCATTCTTTAGTTATCCCCACCTGATTGTCATGAAAATTTATTATGATTGACATTTTCAATAATAATTTCGTTGGTGCATTTATTATTAAGATACTATTTCATTACTAGAATTTTCATGACAGATACGTCTTTTATTATTTACATGCTATATTATTTGTATACTGATTGCATATGCGTGTTCATGTTACCTGTCGAACGTCAGGCTGTTCTGCTGGTAATCGCAAACGTCGCATCGATCTTGATCCTTCCGATGATCTACGACGATGCTCCACGTTCGGTTGATAAGGTAGAGGAGGTAGAGCGATTTGCTTCGTCGACAGGATTGCGACCTCGTGTTTCCCATTATTATTATTTCGTCGTCGAGTCTTATTTTACTTAGCACATATACACGATATGAAATTTTTAGGAGAAAAATTTTATATAGTTTTCCCCACACTTTTTATTCGCATGATATTATACATTTCTAACGTCCACGTTAATTGTATTGCATGCGTTTTCCGCACAGGTCTTCTTTATCACACGCGATTTTTTTTTATTTTAATTGATCGTTCATTGCAAGTGAGAACTTGCACGATATGTAGTTCTTTCAGAAGAAACTTTTTTCTCGTTGCAGGAATTACGTTTGATCGCATAACCGGCCGTGAAAGCCGTGGGATTCTCGTGTGCCATGACCCTGGTCTTTGGGCCTCGGAGTCGTGTAACAACTTAAGTAATAACTTACATCCTCTTACAAATGGAGAAATCTGCAAGCAGATTTTTACGATTTGCCTTTGGTTTATTATTCGCAATTTAGTTTTTTGAGATACATTGTATATTCCATTATTTTTTTGAGATACATTGTATATTCCATTATTTTTTTTCTTACATTTTCTCACTCGATCCAAACGACAGAATAAATATTCATTTTAAACATGAATATTTATTCAGATTTCAGTTACAAATTTTAATGTATTTTTTTTTAATGTATTTCTACCCTGGTTGCACTTCCTGTTCCGATTGTTTACTCATTATGAACGACTATTGCATTAAATTACGTTGCAGTAAATACGCGTTGTTCGTTGCAAATACATCACTAACATTGCCTGTGCAATTGTGTTTACACTCGTAATTACGAGGCAACGACTCGAAAGTAACATTTACAGAATGGATGCACGCTGCACTTCCTCGAATGGCAAGGGAAATTAAAATGCGCTTTTATGACGCGACTTTTATCAAGATCTCTTACCGGAAAATACCCATAAATTATACTCACGACGTTTACGTGAGAATGTTATATTTTCCGTTCTAATAAAAATCTATTTACAAGGCATTAAAAAGGTGTTTCAATTTACTACTTTCTCTTCCATTTTAATATTTCTTGTTTTTTACTTTAATAATTCTGCTTATCTTTTTTTTTCTTACAATTTTTAATTTAATTTACAAGTAAATTTTTCTAAAAAAAAATGTTGTTTTGATTCTATCACTGTATTTCTTGTTGAAAATATTTGCCTATATTTGCCTATATTTATATATTTGTATTTTGTATTTAAATTTTCTCCTGAAGATTGATTTCGATATAAAAATATCTCGTAATAATGTTTATATTATTACCTATAAAATTTTATAGGGTATATTGTAAATCGTAGGAGAAAAAAATGCAGATGATTCTTCATATAAATACAAGTTATAAATATATATAAGAAAATTTTTTCATTTAAATCTTTATTTTTGAGAAAATCGACTTTGAATATCTGTCAAATGCGCATCCATTTAATTAATAAGAGTTGAATTTTATTATACATAATTATTTATATTCGCATTTGAACAATATTATTTTATGTTAGATTTAAGTTAGGCAATAAATAATATAATATATTATTTCATTAAATTACAAATTATTAAAAAAGTCTCTTTTCTTGTCATGCAAAGAAAGGCTTGAAAAATTAAAAAAAGTAAAAACATAAGTTGATTTTACAATTGTTTAATTGTTTATAGTACAAACAAAAATAGTTTTATAGAAATCTGTAACAAATTTAGAGGAATTTTAATCAGATGCACATATACAATATATGGTGAATTTTTTGAAATCAATTTTCTCTAAAACAAAGTCTTGTATGAAAAAAAATTTTATTCTATATTTTTTATTTATATTTCATGAAGAATCACTTTTATTTTGACTTATATCACAATTTATAATACACTTTATGTGTATTTGTGTATGGGCGTATATATCTCCACGTAACTGTCAATAATTTAATTAAAAATAGTAAAAATTACTTAAGAATTTTTCACGATTAATTTTAATTATTTCCTAGAGAATTTTATAAATTTCAGGAATCTTTACATCTATGTCAAGATTGATTCTCCTGTAAAAGGAGTCGTAAGAAGACAAACTTGACATAGATTTAAATGTCCTTAATTGATTTTCTCGAGAATGAAAAAAATTTATACATTTACAACTTATTTATATGCAAAATCATTTGCATTTCTTGAAATATTAAATTAATGATGAACAATTATATGAACCATTTTGTATATAAAAATGTATATAAAAATTAATATTTGATTTTAAGTTTTTCAAAAAATAAAAGTTATATCGACTGTAATTTAGCTTAATTTTGTTTTTTATAACTATTTTATATAAAAATGCCTCACATAAAAAATTTCAATTTTGAGAAATAAAAAGAATAATAAAAAAAACTTTAAAAATGTTTAATTTTGATAAATAAAAGAAAATAACTTTATTAAAATTCGACAAACTTGTATAAATAGTAATAATAATTAATTGTTGCAGTACCTTTATTATTTTTATTATGTTTCTATAACTTTTAATGAATATATTTTCGAAAAAACTAATTTCTCAGATTTTTAATTCTTCAAAAGATTTTTTAAAAGAGTGTTTACTCACAAAAGTTTGAAATAATGTTATCAACACTGTGTTCTGTGAGAACATTTTCTAGTGGGTGGTACATTTTTATTTTAAACCTTTAGATAAGAGTTAGGGGCTAAAATAAAATAATTTGGTATCATTTTGGTACCTTTCATCCACAGTATCGATGAATCGAATTGACATCATCAAGAAAACATGCTACTGGTTTTTAAATCGTTGTTGGAAATTTTAGTGACCCACTAACACAAAAAACTAACGTAAAAACAATTGATGGTATTTTTTGTACAATTGTTATTACATTTTTATTACACTTTTTCATGTATACTCTTGATTTTTTTCCGATTACACAATATTACATGAATAATAACAAGTATGTACACATTTATAATGTGCATAATTATAATCATAATGTATATATGTATAATTATAATTATAATATATATGTATTATAATATATTTGTACATACTTTTTATATAATTATTATCATAATAAATGTACATACTTTTTATATTTTATATATCCTATTTACAAATGTTTTAAAATATATTCTATCATAGTTAAACAAAATTTATATAATATACGGCTATAATTTGATTGAATATATGATAAATAATTATAAGATACAACAATAAATTAATATATTTGATTAATATTTTGACATTGCAATATCTTAGTCTTTTCCAGTGAATTTTTACTTTAATAATTACAGAGAGATTTTTTTTACTCACATCAACACGTAGGACACGTTATAGGCACATGCAACCTTAACTACACTAAATATAATTCAGCAGTGCTCTCGCCTAAGAAGATTGGAACAAAAAATAATTTCAAATTTAATCGAAATTAATCAAATTTATCGAATTTAATCGAAATTAATCAAATTTATCGAATTTAATCAAATTTAATACTTCTCATTTCTTTTTTTTTCTCTCCAACAATTAGTAGGATTCATTTATCCCGTTTGTGCCATCAATCTTATCATGCATGCGGCGTCTCGCCGCAAACAAAGCGAGTTCCTCTACATCGGAGCGATTAGCATTTGCTAAAAATCGCACTTAGCACCGGCCCCGCACTTCTCTCACTCTCTCTCTCCCCCTCCCACCACTGTTTCGCGTCAACGTTCAACACTACGGCATCACGGCTAATCGTGAAAATAATCGGTTAAAAATTTACACACCCCCGCATGAGGCCCCCATTCGATGGAGCACCTCCCTTGGACACGAACCTCCGGAAGATACCGAGAGTTTGGTGAAAAACGCGTCGTGCGAGAGGCCGCGAGAGGCATTCACCGAGCGGCTTTCAAGAGCCGACTGCCAACCCGCGAATGCCCCGAGGTGCACGTGTGCACATCGCCTCTCTCGGTTACCTCTCCAACGAGACCCCGTCTTCATTCTCGGCCGGTGCGGTACGGTGCAGCCAGTGTTTGCTGGTATCTAGATAAAATTATCTAGATAATCATCTAGATAAAGAAATGGCTCATCTTTATCTTTAACTAGACGAAGAAATACAAAGTATCTTCATCTTTATCTTAGATGAAAAATATATGTCATCTTATTTAAAAATTGTCTAAGATGACGTTTCCATTATGCAAAAAAGTTTTCCAGGCATGCTTCCAAAAATCTATCTAAAATATCTAAAATATATTTTTTATATTATTATTATTATTAATATATTATAAATATATTATTATTATTATTATTATTATTATTATTATTATTTTATATTTATTATATATATATTATTAATATATTATAAAAATATATTATAAATATAAATTAATAAATAAATATTTATCATATCATTTATATACCTCTTTGCTATTATATAAATATTCTTTAGGAAAAGAGAAAGAATATGTGTTTATGATTTTAATATCCCATTTATAATCTGCGTCACATTTCTTACAAATATTTATAGTCTTCTAAAATAAACAAAAATATCTAGATAATTATCTAGATTATCGCAATAATTATCTCATTTTTCATCTAGATTAAGTAAAAGCAAAATCATCTTATTCTCATCTAAGATAAATTTACGGGTTTTTATCTTTATCTTTATCTAGATAATTTTGAAATTATCTACAGCAAACACTGGGTGCAGCGCAATCATGGCGCGTCCATGACTCGCAATCGGCGAGGGAAGAGACTTGTACTCGCAGTTTCAGACTGTGGGTCAAGTCGCGACCTACGCCGCGCTGATGCACCGTGAGCCTCTTTCATCCTCGGCTTCTCGAGCACTCGGAAAACAGAAGATCCGGGGAGGGGGGAGGGAGGACAGAGGGGCTTGGCCTCACTGGGTCAGAACTGACGATCCTTCTCGATTTAGGACACGAGTGTATTAAAGGATTTAATTTATTTGCGTAACAATATTTTCCATTCTATTTTTTCCTCACGAGCATATTTTTTATTTTCTTCATTTTATATTATTTTCAATTTTCAATTTTCAGTGTTATAAGTTCTTAATTTTTAATATGGTTATTTTTATAATTTATTATATATTATTATTATATATTATTATACAGGGTGTCCCGGACTTAACGAATCAGCCGTTAATGGTGGATTCTTGAGATCATTTGGAAATGAAAATCTTAATGCCAAAATGTTGAGGAAAATGTAGTTTCGGCGCTACAAAAGATTAAATATTACCAATTGCCGCGTTACGTTCTCCTGTGCTCAAGAATAAAGCGCATCAAGGCCCGCGCGATAATATCGATATCGATAGAGGGATCAATATGAAATAAAAAATGGGATTCTGCAGTGTGCGCGATTGTGTCTTCGATGCGACAGTAGACAGTAGTGTGACCATTTTTATGAAGTCTTCCTCAAAATTTTATTAGAATTTTTTTCTCCAAACGATCTCAGAAATCTGCTATTAACAGCTGCTTCATTAAGTGTGGGACACCCTATATATTATTATTTTCGGAAATTAAAATAACTACTTTGCATAACAATGTATTTTAAATTAAAATATTTTTTACAGTTTAACATAATATTATTTTATACGTATAATAATTTTTTACAGTAATAAATTGTTACATAATATTTGACAGCAGTTTTTCAGTTTTAAATTTATTCTTCACAAACACATTTTTTATTTTATTTATTCTTTGTAAAAATATAATTTAGGACACGCTATCTTACGCTTTTATAGTTTGTAGTTCGATGCGACAGTAGATAGTAGTTTGAACATTTTTATGAAGTCTTCCTCAACATTTTATTAGAATTTTTTTCTCCAAATGATCTCAGAAATCTGCTATTAATGGCTGTTTCATTAAATGTGGGACACCTTATATATTATTATTTTCGGAAATTAAAATAACTATTTTGCATAACAATGTGTTTTAAATTAAAATATTTTTTACAATTTAACATAATATTATTTTATACATATAATAATTTTTTAGTAATAAATTGTTACATAATATTTTACAGCAGTTTTTCAGTTTTAAATTTATTCTCTTCATAAACATTTTTTATTTTATTTATTCTTTCTAAAAATATAATTTACGACACGCTATCTTACGCTTTTATAGTTTGTAGTTCATCTCTGACTTCATAGAATTATTGTTTGCCCGCGTTTACCACTAATAGTAATGAGAATATAGACCACAAATCAAAGTAGAAATGTCATGTTTTGCGGACACATTTAAATGCCGGTTTTCAAATCCGAGCGGCTGATCTCACATAATAAGGGACAACTACGGGATACGACGACTGTTTTTTTTCATCGCAAAAAACACAATTTGTTCCAGCAACGGTTAATTGGAGTAATTTGGATGAATACATAATGACATCGTGGTTTGACGAGAGATCGAAGGGTCCGATTTCGATGAGATTAAGAACTAACGAGCCGACGTTGGGCGTAACGTAACACGCAACGTATCATAATTCGTTGTTATGTGGAACGGAAATAAACGGTTCTCTCGCAACAACGAATATTTTATAATAGGTTCGAAATGTATCTATACTATTATCCTTTCACAAATATATTAGAGGACAATAAGGATAATTTTAATGTTTTATTTAAAATTTAAAACGTGGATTTCAATTTATAATAAAATATTTAACAATCAATAATATTCAAATATATAAAATATACCATTAAAAATTGTAAATAATTTTAAGATGACGAAAGAGAATTTTTGAAGATTTCTTTTTCAAATCTAAGAAGCAACTTTTTATTGTAAAAAGGAAGAAAGACCTCATTTAAATAAATAATTCGCTTGGCTTATCCTTGGGTTTATGTGGGAGGCAATCTCGAAACAATCGAGATAAGATTGAAATTAAAATCAAATTTGTTTACGAAATACTAAATTCAGGAAACACAGCACATTTTTCGGAAAATAATATATGTATAATGTTGCTTCTTTTAATAAATTATACGCTTTAATTATTAATGGAAACTAATGAATTACGAAATTAATAGAAATCTAAATGATTAATAATAATTCATCATTTTGATAAATTTCTATAACTGATTGAATGATACATAACGAAGATGAATTCGAGAAGATAATATGTTGGCAGTAGATAAAATTATATTGGATACAATTGAAGTCAACTATCAATTGATTTCGATTAAATGATGTTAAAAATAATATATATTCAATTTAATGGCAATTATTTGTATGAATTTTTCATGGATACGTAAATCGTTTTATTTTCTGCACGTACCAATCTTACTAGGTCAGTTCGCTCCAGTGAGGCTTCTTAACGAAAGGCAATCAAGTACCGCTGCAGACAGAGTCCACAAGAAATGTGATTTTCATAGTCTGTAATCGCGCGACCGTCAATGAAAAACATCACGAGATCCACGAGTGAGGAATGTCTTCGCGAAGAATAAATAAAATACAGAATATTATCCCAGAGATCTTTCAGGATGGCACGCCAGTCACTTGACTTCTAAATGTTACATGCCAGCGGGAGTTAAAAAAGAAAAACGTACGTCTCTCTCAAACATATTGTCAAAAGTCAGAGTTCATCTAAAGGCAAAAAAAGAATAAAAAAGTACAAGAATAAATTGCTGTAGCCAAGTGATTTATAAATACAAATGTAAAAATATAGCGACTTTGTATTCTTATTGACAATAAATTTGTTAGAACTCAATCTACGAGTTGTGAGAATTAATGCCAACAAGTCGCGTATTGTAATTGACTCTCGAGAGAAGAGGAAACATAAATGGGTACTAATAGGCAACATATATCTTTCAATGAACAGACTTAAATGAACAGACCTCGCTTTACCTCGATGCAAAATTTAACATAGAACGTTGATGAATTCTGCGGTCAAAGATCGTGTCAGAAATTTAGTCTCCGCTTTAGTCTCGGTTACGTGAAAAAAAGATAAGTCTTGAGTATTTGAATGGATTAAATCCACGGCTGACTCGAGGTAAATCTTCACATTCGTGTATTCTCTGTATTCTAAAGAGACGAAGGCTAACGGGTGTCTAACAGCATTGAAAATAAGAAAATGCCGCAAAGAATAAAGCAAAAAAAGTATAAGATGTGGCTTCGATGATTCAATAATTTTCATATCGCGCGCAAGGTTTTAATTTAATTTAACATTTCAATGTCAATTAAATTTATCATCACGATCATTTTTAAATAGCACTTCGTCCATTTATACCTAGTTTATATTCAATCAACGAAATTCTGCGCAAACTTTGAGTCTAATTTATAGGTTTTAATCATTGAAATATTTTTTTTAATTTACAGAGCTCTTCAGCGAAAAATGGTTTGAATCTATGACATTTCGGATATATTATGCTTGCGCTCTAGAAAGAGCTGAACATTGAATCCAATGAATATTTAATGGATCGCTGTGTAATGTTCAGCTCCTTTTGGAACACGAGAATAATGTATGGGATGCTTATTGTAAAATTGCTGCTATAAAAGTACAAGTTTTAATTCGTTATTACATTTCAAAACAACATTGTCTATCCTGAAAAATAAAATTCATAGTGAGGATAGGCACGACGGTAGTACTAGTGGGTCAAATTCACGCTTGACCTGATACACGTGTTGAACGGATACACGTGTATCAAGTCATGTATCAAGAGGCAGAACGCCGCTGCTTCCGGATGCTTGTGCAACGTCAGGAACAGGGAAGTAAAACGAAAGAAATGATAATTACAGATGTCTGTCAAAAGCAATCGTGCCAGAGAAATGAAATCACTCAAGTAAATTATTACGAATAATTTACATTTGTTGAAGAATAGATTTATCTCTTTATATCTTTATCTTATAATATGTCTAAAAAAATTATATTTAATTTTTTCAATTATTATATTTAATTTT